ACATCACACATAACCCCAAATCAACATGAAAACAAAACCGATTAAGGGTAAGGTCAGGCCCAGTGGTGGCTCATGCCTGTAATCCTGGCACTATGGGAAGCCAAGGCAGGAGGATGGCTTGAGCCCAGGAAATTTGAGACTAGCCTAGGCAACACAGTGAGACCCTGTCTCTACAAAAACTTTAATTCACAAAATTAGCTGGGTGTGGTGGCATACATCTGTAGTCCCAGCTACTCAGGAGGCTGAGGTAGGAGGATTGCTGGAGCTCAGAATATTGAGGTTGCAGTGAGCCATGATTGTGCTGTTACACTCAAGCCTGGGCAATAGAGCAAGAACCTATCTCAAAAACTAAAGAATCAAAAATCAAAAAGAATGAGATCAAGTGGTAGGTAAATGACACGTGGCCTTGTTTCTGCTAAGTCAGCCCTGCCCTCCCCTATGTTACCAGGGATCCTGACTCCTGTAGGCAGGACCCAGCAATGATCATTTTACCAACAACTGCGTTGCTAGTACAATTAATATCCTTTCTTCTTAAAGTACCTTTCACATAACTCATGTTCTGTAAAATATTACTAAGTATACAATGAAAGGGAAAAGAAAGCAAGCCAATGTTTCATGCTTTAAGTTAGGAAATGCTGTTTTAAACAGCATTAAACTTTTTTTTTTTAACTACAGAACTTCCCAGGGGCTTTAATAAGCTCATGTACTTTGAATCCCTAGGATATGATTTTCGTACAGAGCATGTCCAGGTTTATTTGATCATAGACTCTTTCAGAGAGCAACAGTTGCAGTTCACATTTCATGTAATATTTTTGGGTGCTACTATTTGAGGAATCCTACATCTACAGTTTCAGCAGCGCTGCGCATGCGCACATGTGTATGTGTGTGTGTGTTTGTGTATGTGTGTATGTGTGTGTGTGTTTGTGTATGTGTGTGTGTGTGTGTGTGTGTCTCTGGTATTAACTGGTGCGATTAGAAAGAAGAATCCACTCCTTGGTGTATTAGTTTCTGATAGCTACTATAATAAATTAGCACAAACTTAAGAGGCTTAAAACAACACAAATATATCACCTTATAGTTCTATATGTTGGAAGTCTGACATGGGACTCATAGGCTAAACTCAAGGTGTTGACAGGGCTGTACTCCCTTCTAGAGGCTCTCGGGAGAATCTGTTCCTTGCCTTTTCCACTTCCAGAGGCTTCCCACATTCCTTGGCTCGTGGCCCACTTCCTCCATCTTCAAAGCCAGCGACATTACATCTCTCTGATCATTCTTATGTCGTTATGTCTCCCTCTGATCACAGCCAGGGAAAGTCTTCAGCGTTTAAAGACTGACTTTAAAGATTCATGTGATTAGATTAGGCCCACTTGGACGGTCCAGGATAATCTCACCATGTCAACATCAGCAAAGTCCCTTTTTGCCATGTAAGGCAATATATTCACAGATTCCAGGGATTAGGGTTTGGACATCTTTGGGGGGGCATTATTCTGCCTACCACATATGGGTGGGTAAGAATACCCTGAGAGTTCCAGCCAGCAAGCAAGGACAAAGAGGGAGAATGAAAGTAACTATTGCCATTGTTTGTGTGCTCCCAATTATTTCTTACAACTTCACAGTATCAGGGACATGGAAATTACTGTCTTGTTAAGGGATGTATAGCAATAAACAAAATATGGAACATGTTCCCAAGAACTTGGTTCTCTCTTTACAATGTAGAGAAGCAAGCACAAGTGCTCTGCGAATTAGATACTCCACAAACACAGGCAGCTGGCTTCTCAGCAACACTGGCTGCACTTCCCAGTAAAAGGTACATGCCCTTCATCAGCTTTATTGAAGCTGCCCTCACTAAGAAACTGTGCTGACATTATTTCCTATGATGCAGGTCCTATAACTGTCCCGTTTTACAGGTGAGAAAGGGAATACTTTCTATGATTATGCTACTTGACAAGGTGTTACTTTCACTGAACCAGTAAAATGTACACATCTGAACCCAAAGCTTGATCTTAGTCCTATGTAATGTGCCTATTTGTATGTCTATTTGACAATCCATCTACCTGGACTTCTTCCCCCTTCCAATTCCAACCCAAAGCAAGTTCCTTCCTGTGACTCTATCTGATCTGACAGTCTACATATGTGGTTTTGGGAGTGTCTGCACACGTTTGCATGCTTGTGTATATGTGTTCAGTAACTCTAATTTTTTTCTTCGTGAGGCTTCACATTTTGAAGGCCAAACTGATTGTCAATCAGATACGGTGACTTCTGGGTCAGAGGCGGGATACGTACTCAACACACGCCTTAGAGTCATGTCTATTTCAAAACGTGGCTAGATCATCACCTCTGAAACATTGGCAAATTACTTGAGCACCACAAACTTCAGCTTTCTTATCTTGTGAGAAGTCAAAAATAATATCTGCCTCACAAAGTCACTGTAGAATTAAAAGAGGTGATAGAGATAAAGCACTTGATAGATAGTGATCACACAATAACTTATAGTTGATGCTATGATCAATTCCATGCTCTAAAAACGCTATTCAAAGTTCTTGCCTCTCTGAAAGATGCTTAATGACAACTTCTACTTAAATCAGTGACACTAGTATGACCGATACCCATGGGTTAATTCACATTAGATTAAGGTGTGTTAATACTTTTTTTTTTTTTTTTTAAAGGCTCTGCCTGCCTGGAGAACTAGGGCCTGATACTTCTTGAAATTCGCTAATCACATCTGGTTTAGCTTTAGACATTTTCTGGGATTTTGCCAGCAGCTACGACACTTTAATGGCTACAATAAACCTCAAAGCCTCATCAAATCTTTGCTGTATGTGTGAAAATTATGTCCTCTTCAATTAAACATTCAATCTCAGCTCACACCAAGGCCTTATGGAAAAGGAGGTGAAACCTGAATGGAAACGTAAGATGAAACGGACCGCCACAATTCTGGCCATCTTGCCAGATGGTATTTAGAAGAAAAAGAAATTCATTAGAGAACTTACGGTGTGTATTTTCTTTAAATATTTACTGGGTACCTTTCATGTGTTGAAAACACTGGCATCTCTAAAGATTAGCAGGGCATTTTTGTTTAAATATTCCATGTGTGTGAGGTGGGGGGAGTCACTTCCTCATTTGCCCTTGTGGTACTTCATGTATTTAGGTGAAGCCCGATACAAAGAAGAAAAGGAACAGACAACGTTCAGTTTTCTTTCCTAAGGTCGCTCTACCCACTTCAAAAGCTCTTGTATTTTCTTAAAATTGGCTGAGGAAAGTGTCAGTTGAGTACTGAGGGTTCCAGAATGACAATTCAGAGCCTCCCTAGACAAAAGAAGGTATACCAAAGTGAGGCACTATGGGGGAACCCTTGCGTCTCCACTCGCCTCCCAATTCACTCCTCTTATCCTCTTGCTATTTATCATCAAATGTACAGGGATGTCAAAGGGAGACAGCCCCTGGAAGGAGAAGGGAAAAGATCAAACAGGGATCAAGTTTCGGCTCAAAGACTACAGGAGAGGTCAGGCCAAGGGTTTTACAAGGGGCCAAGAGACAAGAGGGAATGGGCATTTAGAAACGGCCACGGAGCAAACAAGCTCCTCTGCCACTGCTAACTCTTGCTGCCACACTGAGGACTAGCCTGGGCCCTAATTCTACCACTGGAGAGGGACAGACAAAAATGCTAGGTGGTAGCTTACTATGCTTTATTACAATAGTAATCAAGCTCCTCAACTTCAACAAGGATACAACTGCCAGTTCTTCAGGAGAGAGAAAATAATGACCACAAGTTCACATATCACATTTCTAAAGGAAGCATCCATTTGGTTGAATTCATTCAACAACATCAATGGGAGAAAAAAACCCCACATGCTCCTTTAAAAATAATATACAAGATAAAAATATTCACTTGTAACCATTATCCTTTCCATGTAAGTTTTATGCCCAACGTAAAAATAAATGGCTCTCTTTGCCACTAGGAGTACATCTTTCCCACTTTACTTCCATTTCCAAGCTGTTCTCGGCCTCAGACTTCGCTTTCTGAGTACTCTTTCACAATAAACATTTTAAAAATGTTTACTTTATGTCTTGGTGTTAAAATATTCCTGGTTGAAGCCCTTCATTTCCTCAAGCTCTGCTTCTGGCACTCTGGGCTCCATTTCCACATTAACACGCTCCCTAAATCCTCCGCAGAGCTCTTCAACTGGAGTTATACAAGCTCCAAGGCAAGTATTTATATTCTTGGACAAGGAGATGGCTCCACAGTGAAAACACAAGACTCTAGAAATGCCAAAGGAAAATTCCTGCCCAAGTGAGACATATTTTCACCTTTTAAAAAAGCCAAAAAGGGGCTTTCAGCATTTTCTTTTGAATAATTAAAAATGCAAATTAAACTAAAATGGAATGTTTACTGTGGGCCTTACCATCATTATTAGACTCATATATAAACCAAACATACAGGAACATGTATGTGTGTATGTGTGTAACATGTGTGTGATATATATACTTAAAGCAGCAGAGTAAACTAGCTAATGTGTGAGTTCCAGAAACGAGAAACTAGAAAATGTGTGAGTTCTAATTGGATAGACTTGATTAGACTTGATCAGAGTGCAATAAATCTGTCTCTTACTGGCTGTGTGAACATAACTTCTCTAAGCCTCATTTCTCTCATCCGTAAAATGGGGCTGGTGTAGTTCCAGCTTATTAAGATTGTTATATGAGACAACAGTAAGCATCCAGTTTATCATTAATAATGTTAGAACTACTAAATGTTAGAAAACGTAGATATAACAAGATATGGATATAAGAAACAAATGATCAACACTAATGAAAAAGAAGAATTTGAAAATACGGTGCCTCTACACACTGTGTAGACTCAGAAAGTTTCGTGAAAGCTGTGGTGTACCATCACTGAACTCTGCACCAATCCCACTCTATGAGCCAGACCTAAATAATCCTCTTCAAACATTTTTAAAAAGTAGTCTTAGCTGTTATCATAATAACAGAACAGTTCCTATTACCTTCTAGTTGCCTCTTCAGTTTTCTCAAATCTTTTATGAGGTCTTCAAACTTGACTTGGGAGGCCAGAAAGAAATCCTGTGGTTCCGGCAGGGGGAAGACACTCTTTTCTGTTCCAGCTTCCTAAGAGATATGGTGAACAAAAGTACATTATACTTCCCAATTGTCACTTTCAGTTGAAATTCCAAAGCATCAGTGAGGGGGGAAAAAAAAAAAAAAGGCTTCTTTATTAGATGTCTGAATAAGAATCACAGCAATGCTCCTCTGCTATTCCTAAATTTGGACTTGTGACTTTGAAGTGCTTTCTTGTCTTTCACAGTATCTTTTTGGACTTATTGGCAATGAGGTCAGCTATGGCATGGGCCAGGTTCTATTTTGCCTCATGAATCAAAGAGAAAATTGTCAGGTCTGTCCTGATCTTGGACACTCTACTCCCATGTAAAATGCAACAGGGGAACACATGAAAGTACTTACATTTGAAGTCCCCGTTTGATTTACACATGCTAGCAATTAGACAAGTCATCTTTGGGGTATGCCAATGGGTGTGAATCAGAAGGTGCTGGATAAGAAGGCACTGCAATGGAAGATACAATCACCCTCCCATCACCTTTCCTCACCTTCCTCTGTGACTTAAAGCTCTTCTGTGTGTATTATGCATGATCAAATTCTTTGTATATGGGTGTATATACACATATACACCGTTTTTTTTTTGGGGTTTTTTTTGAGATAGGTCCTTGCTTTGTCACCCAGGCTTGAGTGCACTGACACAATCATGGTTCACTGCAGCCTTGACCTCCCAGGCCCAAGCGATCCTTCTAGTTCAGCCTATTAGCTGGGACCACCGGTACGTGCCAACATATCCAGCTAATTTTTAATTTTTAATTTTTTGTAGAGACAGGGTCTCACCATGTTGCCCAAGCTGGTCTCTAACTCCTGGGCTCAAGTGATCCTCCAGCCTTGGCTTCCCCAAAACTCTTCATATATTTGAAAAGTTTTTGCAAATGTTGTTTGGCTTATCTTAGGAGACTGAGGGCAGGGTGGGGTACAGTTTTAACAAGCTCCACTGCTATACCAAATAGAGGATTCTCAGCTGAGAAACGTCTTGAAGGACAAAAGCTTCAGGTACAATGAAACATAAGCTGAACCTCAAATATCTTTTCCAGACTAGCTAGCTTTCTCCCTGAGTTGTTTAACGTAAGTTTTGTATCTTGCATGTCTTAGGCAGTCTTCAATTATGCCTCTCTCCGCACAGGCTACTTTGCCAGTTTTCCTTCACATTCCATCTTCCCTACTGCCATTAGGACTAATTCCAAACTCTAAAACTGCTTTACAAGGCACTTTATGATCTGGCCTCTGTCTACATCTCTGGCCTCATTTCTACCTTCTCCCTATCTCCAACTCCCTCTAGACCTTCATGAAAGAGACCACGATCTCTGGCTTCTAGGCCTTTGTCTATAAAACGGTCCCTTTCTGACCCTTCCCTAGTGCCTCCTTACACTTCCTTGTTCATACTCATCTTTTAAGTCTTAAAACAAACGTCCTTCCTTAAAGATTTCCCCTAACCCCCAGCAGGTGGGTGTTTCTCCCCTGTTCCCCAAAGGCTTATGATGCTTATATTATCACAGCATTTATCACCATTAATTTTTTTTACCATAAGTTATTGGGGTACAGGGGGTATTTGGTTGCATAAGTTCTTTAGTGGTGATTTGTGAGATTTTTGGTTCACCCATCACCCAAGCAATATACACTGCACCCTCTTTGTAGTATTTTATCCCTCATCCCCCTCCCACTCTTATCCCCAAGTTCCCACAGTCCATTGTACCATTCCTATGCCTTTGCATCCTCAGAGCTTAGCTCCCACATATCAGTGAGAACATATGATGTTTGGTTTTCCCTTCCTGAGTTACTTCACTTAGAATAATATTCTCCAATCTCATCTGGGTCGCCGAAAATGCTGTTAATTCATTCCTTTTTGTGGCTGAGTAGTATTCCATTGTATATATATATCACAGCTTCTTTACCCACTCTTTGATTGATGGACATTTGGATTGGTTCCATGATTTTGCAATTGTGAACTGCGCTGCTATAAACGTGCATGTCCAAGTATCTTTTTCATGTAATGACCTATTTTCCTCCGGGTAGATACCCAGTAGTAGGATTGCTGGATCAAATGGTAGTTCTACTTTCAGTTCTTTAAGGAATCTCCACACTGTTTTCCATACTGACTGTACAAGTTTACATTCCCACCAGCAGTGTAGAAGTGTTCCCTGATCACTGCATCCATGCCAACATCTGTTTTTTGATTATGGCCATTCTTGCAGGAATAAGGTGGTATCACATTGTGGTTTTGATCTGCATTTACCTGATCAATAGTGATGCTGAGCATTTTTTCATATGTTTGCTGGCCATTTGTATATCTTCTTTTGAGAATTGTCTATTCATATACTTAGCTCACTTATTGATCAGATTGTTTTTTTCTTACTGATTTGAGTTCATTGTAGATTCTGGATATTAATCCTTTGTCAGATGTATACATTGTGAAGATTTTCTTCCACTCTGTGGGTTGTCTGTTTATTCTTCTGACTGTTCCTTCTGAGGTGCAAAACCTCTTCAGTTTAAGTCCCAACTACTTATCTTTGTTTTTATTGCATTTGCTTTTGGGTTCTTGGTCATGAAACCCTTGCCTAAGCCAATATCAAGAAGGGTTTTTCCACTGTTATCTTCTAGAATTTTTAGTTTCAAGTCTTAGATTTAAGTCCTTAATCCAACTTGAGTTGATTTTTGTATGAGGTGAGAGATGAGGATCCGGTTTTGTTCTCCTACATGTGGCTAGCCAATTATCCCAGCACCATTTGTTGAAAAGGGTGTCCTTCTCCCACTTTATGTTTTTGTTCGCTTTGTCGAAGATCAGTTGGCTGTATTTGGGTTTATTTCTGGGTTCTTTATTCCGTTCCACATAGAATTCCATCCCTATTCTATTCTTTTTTTTTTTGAGACGGAGTCTCGCTCTGTCACCCAGGCTGGAGTGCAGTGGCCAGATCTCAGCTCACTGCAAGCTCCGCCTCCCGGGTTTAGCCATTCTCCTGGCTCAGCCTCCCAAGTAGCTGGGACTACAGGCGCCCGCCACTTCGCCCGGCTAGTTTTTTGTATTTTTTTAGTAGAGACGGGGTTTCACTGTGTTAGCCAGGATGGTCTCGATCTCCTGACCTCGTGATCCACCCGTCTCGGCCTCCCAAAGTGCTGGGATTACAGGCTTGAGCCACCGCGCCCGGCCCCCTATTCTATTCTATGTGCCTATTTTTATACCAGTACCACACTGTTTTGGTGACTATGGCCTTACAGTATGGTTAACATCAGGTAGTGTGATGCCTCCAAATTTCTTCTTTTTGCTTAGCCTTGCTCTGGCTATGTGGGCTCTTTTTTGGTTCCATATGAATTTTAGAATTGTTTTTTTCTTTTTTTTGAGATGGAGTCTTGCTCTGTTGCCCAGGCTGGAGTGCAGTGGCATGATCTCGGCTCACTGCAAGCTCCGCCTCCCAGGTTCACACCATTCTCCTGCCTCAGCCTCCCGAGTAGCTGGGACCACAGGCGCCTGCCACCACACCCGGCTAATTTTTTTTTTTTTTTTAATTTTTAGTAGAGACGGGGTTTCACCATGTTAGCCAGGATGGTCTCAATCTCCTGACCTCGAGATCCGCCCACCTCGGCCTCCCAAAGTGCTGGGATTACAGGCGTGAGCCACTGTGCCGGGCCTAGAGTTGTTTTTTCTAATTCTGTTAAGAATGATGGTGGTGTTTTGATGAGGATTGCACTAAATTTGTAGATTGCTTTTGGCAGTATGGTCGTTTTCACAATATTGATTCTACCCATCAATGAGCATGGGATGTGTTTCCATTTGTTAGTGTTGTCTATGATTTCTTTCAGCAATATTTTGTAGTTTTCCTTGTGGAGGTCTTTTGACTCCTTAGGTATATTACTAAGTGTGTGTGTGTACATATATATATATATATATATATTTACAGCTATTGTAAAAGGGGTTGAATTCTTGATTTGATTCTCTGCTTGGTCACTGTTGGTGTATAGAAGAGCTACTGATTTGTGTACATTAATCTTGTATCTGGAAACTTTGCTGAATTCTTTTATCAGTTCTAGGAGCTTTCTGGAGGAGTCTTTAGGGTTTTCAAGGTAAACAATCATATTGTCAGCCAACAGTGACAGTTGACCTCCTCTTTACTGATCTGGATACCCTTTATTTCTTTCTCTTGTTTAATTGCTCTGGTTAGGACTTCCAGTACTATGCTGAAGAGGAGTGATGTGAGTGGGCATCCTTGTCTTGTTACAGTTCTCAGAGGGAATGCTTTCAACTTTTCCCCATTCAGTACTATGTTGGCTGGGGGCTTGTCATAGATGGCTTTTATTACATTAAGATACGTCCCCTGTATGCAGATTTTGCTGAGAGTTTTAATCATAAAGCGATGCTGGATTTTGTTGAATGCTTTTTCTGCATCTATTGATATGATCATGTGATTTTTGTTCTTAATTCTGTTTATGTGGTGTGTCACATTTATTGACTTGCATATGTTAAACCATCCCTGCATTCCTGGTATGAAACCCACTTGATCATGGTGGATTATCTTTTTGATATATTGTTGGATTCGGTTAGCTAGCATTTTGTTAAGGATTTTACCATCTATGTTCAACAAGGGTATCAGTCTGTAGTTTTCATTTTTGGTTATGTCCTTTCCTGATTTTGGTATCAGGGTGACACTGGCTTCATAAAATGAATTAGGGAGCGTTCCCTCTTTCTCTATCTTGTGGAATAGGGTCAAAAGGATTGGTACCAATTCTTCTTTGAATGTCTGGTAGAATTCTGCTGTGAATCCACCTGGTCCTGGACCTTTTTTTGTTGGTAATTTTTAAATTATCATTTAATTCTTGCTGCTTGTTATTGGTCTGTTCACGGTATCTAATTCTTCCTGATTTAAGATAGGAGGATTGTATTTTTCCAGGAATTTATCCATCTCTTCTAGGTATTCTAGTTTATGTATCACCATTAATTTTTAAATTGCCATGTTATCTTGTACATCTTCCCCATTAGACTCTAAACACCTCAGAGGCAGAAA